TTTTTATTTTTTTTGGAATATGCTTTCATATTCTAAAAAGTACATATAAAATTAATTCAAATTTTTAAAAAAACTTCATTTTGTATTTATAAAACAATACATTTGTATTTGCAGGATACGCGTTAAGCTAACGAGATGAAAACATTGGCAAAATAATCATCTTGTGCAGTGTCGGCCTGGCTCAGAAGGCCCTCATTTAATTTAAGATTTTTTTTCTTGCTGGACCACTGAGAAAATTGTCCAACAAATTTAATTATTATTAATAAAAGGAAAGGCTATTCAGATATTTTTTTCAAGGAAATATTAAACTGATTTCAATAAATGTATATTAGATTTTAAACAAAAAGAACTTTAAATAAATAATTTTTTACTCCTTAATATTTTTAACTTTTTTTTGAGCACCACTGGAGATTATAATGGTTTTACTTATAATTTAACATTGATTATAAAACTCATGTCACAAAATTAAAATTGTTTAACGATGAGTTAATATATTTTTACTTTTAGATGACACACAGAATTTTTAAATAAGAAAAAATTAATTCTACTTATATATAACCAAAACTTACTAATTCTTAGCATAACTCATATTAGAACATGTAGCAAAACTTACACAGTTTAATATTAATTTAATTATTTTTAATATAAGTTAAAAATAATTTTAGTAATTAATTTTCAATTAAAATTGCTGAAAGAAAAATTAATCATAATCTACTGAGTCAACACAAACCTATTAGAAGAAACTTCCAGAAAGTAATAAGACTAAAAAAAATGTGTTCAACAATTACTGCATTGAAGTTGGATATACTGTGTTATTTTATACTTAGATATTCTAATGCAGCACAAGAAAAAATCCAGTCATCCCCAAGAATGATGAGGAACACATGGAAGAAATTTCTTTTTTAACCTTGAAGTCCTATTGCACAACATCCAAAATTATTGGATAATAAGATATTATTTTAACTCTTCCCGAAAACACTTATCCATATTATCAAATTGGACATAGAACACCCAATTTTATATTGTACAAATATTAGCAATTTTATGTTTATATTAGTCATTATTTTTTAATATTATATTTAATATCTTTCTTCCTATACATGATTCCATATTAGAGTAAACAAAGCAAAATAAAAAAACCTCAAATTCCTTATACTTTTTGAATATATTATTATAAGAACTTTGATAATGTTGAGGAAAACTTTATTAAATAAGTTATCATCTTTTAAATTAGTATCAAAACCGTATTTAAAGATACCAAGATGAATTTCAATATAAAAAACCTCTTACATATACAGATTGTGCCATAATATTCTGACATACTTAATAATTTTTGATCTAACGAATATTTTGCTATTTATTATTTTCAGATACACAGATATAATATAAACGTCTAATAGACCATGCAACGATGACATATATAGAATTTTATCCTGATAGAAGTAAATTAAATGTAAATATATTCTGTCCATACTATTTTATATCTTTATTTTCATATCTTACAAAATTACTAGTATTGGTAATTTAATATTTTAATGTCATAAAACAAAATATTAGAAGGTGTAATTCAAAAGTAATTTTTATAATGTATTTGAAATATAATAAAAATTTATTTTTGGCAGTTATTGTGTTAAAAAAATTGTTTTTTTATATACAAGACAGTCAGATTAACGTCATTAAATATATCGAAATAAGTGATTAAACTATACTAAAAGGTAGATTATAATACCGAAGTCCGAATGTAAATTTAATTTGTAAGTATTTTTTTAGTGGTTTACGTTAAAAAATAACAGCACAGTGAGGATGTGGCATAGTTGGGTCAAGTATGATATCAGTCAGTAATTAAAATCATTATCATAAAAAACTCTTTGATGCAAATCTGTAGATAGTATTTAATTTAAAAAGCTACATGATCTCCTGATTTCTTATTCATATCCTTATTACAAGTTTTATGATTTATAAGTGTAATATATGAATATATATACAAAAGGGAAATGGTTGTATTTAAAATAAAGTATGTCAAATGAAAGAGGTATATAAATTGTATTTATCATAAAAAAATTTTATTGATTGATCCATACATTTTTCAAAAAGTTAGTCTATAAAGTTAAAAATATAAAAAAATTTTTTTATTAATTTTTATGCTAGTTTTCATCATAAAAACAAACTAAAGTCTGAAACTTTTTTTTTCATATTAGAGTATAATGCATAAGGTATGTATAAATGATATATATATATATATAGATGTACATAAAAGTGTTAGTATTTCCGGAACAATTTCAAAGGTTAATTTTTTGTGAAAAAGTTGTCGTTTCGAATTCCCCCAGTGGACAAATAAATGGTCAGATTTATAAAAAAAAAAGATAGATAATTATCTCATGTATTATTTAAAAATAAATTATATTGATTTGGTCATTTTTAATAAAGTTATGGCAGTTTTAAGTAAAAAAAATGTGGAAAATTAGGGATTTTAAAATTTGTAATTTTTTGAAGATTTCCCCATTTACGGAGAATAAGGGAAATGTTTTCGACTAGATAAGATTTGTAATCTTTTGACATATCGTTGAAAAAAATCGGTTGAGTAACAGTCACAAAAAAAAAAAACACATAGTAAAACCAATACCTTATCAGCTTCGCATCGAAGCTAAAAGGTCTATTTATATTTAATACTTAATATGTTTAATAATATCAATAAATTAGTTAATAATAGTTCTAATGTATGAGTATAAATATTAAATGATAATCGAGAAAAAATTTATAAGTATACAATTTTATATAAATAATTTTTTATATTTATCATACAAGTTTATTTATATGATAATTTATTTTTAGTAATTTTTAAAATAAATTTTTAATATTATGTTTAGATGCGAGATGGTTTAGGTACAGAAAACCAAAGCTCAATTTAAACATAATATGCTTACTAAAGCAATTTATATTAAATCTTAAGTTTACTACAAAAAATAAAACCAACTATTGAGAAATTAAATTATAACTTTAAGTCTCACTTAATACTAATATATATATATATTTATATATCATCATATATTAAGTACCAATTTGTAATTAACAATATAGTACATACATATTGCAACTATTAATATAACATATATACTCTATATAGTAAAATTACAATTAATTTTGTCATTCTATATAAAAAGAAAAACTATTATTTGTATAAAAATATTTATATAGTCTAAATAATCATTTTTAATAAAAATGGAAGAATATAATAGTTTCAGTCAAAAATTATAAAAAATGAATTATTTCCTAACACTCATCTTTATTAGTTTATACCCCCACATAAGAACTTGTAGATGATATATTAAGTAAAATGAGTTTGTGTGATCATCAAATATTTAAAATTAAATAAATAATAGATCAAACATTAAATAAAATAAATTTGTGTTCAACATTGTAAGAATTACTATAATACTACTCAAATTATAAGCTATTAGTATTATAACAATGAGTGTAAAAATTATATGCAAGTTAAGAATAGATTCGTTAATTGTTAATAAAATGTACTCATTCTATTTAACTTATCATATATAATTAACACTAACACACACAAAAAAAAGAAAAAATAGTATAATTATGATCTTATATTTAAATAAAATAAATAGCATATTCCCAAAATGTACCTTAATAATTATGTCTAACAGTACTAAAACAATTGTGTTAATAGTCAAACATTATTACTTTAAATGTTCTTATTGCAGTAGTAAGTAATGGAAACTTATAATACAGTTAATAATAATTTTCATAGATTAAAATAAAATATTTATGCCACAAAAATTTTGATTAATTGTGATAATGTGGCTTTAAAATTAATTAAAGTAATACATAGCTTCCATACTAATTGAACAATATATTATATACCATATTGAAATTCTATAAAATTAGATTTACAATTGAATAATTGACTGCCGATTCCATAAAGATAAGTTTTCAAAATGTGGTGGGACAGTAAGTAGAGCATCATCAGTTGTTCGATTAACAGAACAATTCTAAAAAAAAATAAAATAAATTAATATTCATCAAAAATTAACAAATTGTAAATATTGCACACAGATATCAAAATAACTTACCTTAGGTTGCATTCGATACGTGTCCACACAATCTATGTTAAGTTTAATAACTTCCATCTTACATTTATAACCAGATACAGTTAATTTGATAATTGTATGTAAAGGAACGTTAATATAAGGTAATTCTTCTATAAAACATAAAAAAATTTTAAGTTAATTAATTATCATATAATTTGATAAAGTAATGTAATCATAAGGACTAATACTATATTCTATCATCTTGATAAAAAGTATTTTTTATAGAACTACACATAAATAAATAAAAATTGTTAATTTATACATACCATGTTTTTTATTCATAAAGTATCCAAGAACACATCTCAAAACAGCTTGGTGGCTTACTATTAACAAATTATCCATATCGCCTTCAAGTTCTAATAAAACTGGTTTTAATCTATTCATTATGTCTACATATGATTCTCCCCAAGGGTAACGGTATTGTAATTTATCTTGATCACGCCATGCAAATTCTTGAGGGAATTTATCTTGCATCTCTTCATAACTTAATCCTTCACAAACACCCTAAAACAAATAAAAAATTAGCCAATAAAGAAATAATAATTTTTGCTATTTTCATTAATACTTACAGCATATAACTCATTTAAAGCTGATACAGTCTCTATCGGAGCTTGAATACCTTGAACAGTTTGGTGAGTACGTTTCAATTCACTAGTCCATACTCGCAATCCAGTTAAACATTCTTCATTATTAAAATATCGAGCCAATGCCACTGCATAAGTACGTCCTCTAACAGACAAATCAGCATCTCCACCAATACGACCCAATACATTGTTTTCACTTTCACCATGCTAATAATAAAAATTTCAGTAATTTTACATGTTACTAAAAACATAGTAATAATATTAGCTTACTCTAGAAAAATAAAAAGTTTTTGAAAAAGGTTTGAAACTCGATACAAATGAAAGCACTTCACTTTGTAATGGAGAGTTCAAACGATAAGTGCTAAGCATTTCACCTAAAAATTAAAAACATTGACTTCTAAAATTACTGGTAATTAAAATAATGTTAACATACCTGCATTTAAATACTTGATATAACTATAGCCATCAGTTTTAGGTTTCATAGGCTCATGTTGTTCCATATAATGTTCAATTTTATGGTGAAAGTCATCAAGAGCTTTTTCACTAGACATATTACGATAATCTTTGCTGAACTGCAATACTTCTTTAACATTTTTCTCAATTAACATTTCATCATCACAAACACATTCAATAAACAAAACTTTAAATCCCATCTTTTTGGCAAAATGGTCATGTACTGTTTTACGACGTTCTTGAGTTATATGAGTTCCATCAAGAATCTAAAATCATGTAAAATTAATTAAAAATATACATTATGGGGATTTCATACACTAATAGCTTACAGCAACATCTCCACCTTCTTGTAACCATTTAGTGGCATCTTCTTGAGCTTCCTGGACACTCAATTGTCGAATTTCAGCAGCTTCTCTATTTTCTTTACGAAATAAATCATGACTACTGTACGATTCAATATGTTTACGTCTGTATGAACTCACACAAAAAACTAAACAAATAATAATAAAAAAATATTTTTTAAGAAAATAATTTAATCAATAACTTATATTATTATTTAAAAATAGTAGTTATTTTAATATATACAACAAATACATAGTTTTTCTATAACTTCAATTTGACGTAACATGCTCTTAAATAAATTTTTTTAGTATATAAAGATTGGTAAAATTTGTAGGGGCTGAGTACCTTGAAAGCACTGAAGATAATCTAAATAGTTTTTTAAGCACTTTGTTGGAAATAAACTACAACTGTTTTTTAATTTTATAGGTGTTCTTTTGTTTTAGTTATATCTTTTATTTAGTACATTTTGTGTTATTCTCCTTTTCCGTTATTTCAAATAAAAATTCTCACTTTGAAACACTGCTAGATCTATATGACATGTCTTTGATAGTGATTTAAAAAGTAATTTGTGCAGGTACTATTTGAGTTGTTTACTTTAGTTTTAATCTTATGAGTTTCGGCTCACAGTCAATACCTTAGTATTCAAGAATATAGTTTTATTCTTTGACCCCGTAAAGTCTTAATTAATTTTATTAAGTAGTGAAAAGTAGTGTTATAAACAAATACTACAAAGATAAAGAAAAATATGGTATCAGTGTCATAATTTAAATATAATATTATGCATGAACAACTGTTTTTTAAATTCATATATAGGTATATATACAATAACTCATTGTATAAAATATTTTAAAATGTAATAATTAATTTCTAAAAATAGATGATTAATTTAATCTTAAACAAACCTTTAGCTTTATGATTGGTCCAGTTGAGGTATTGTTGTATTTTATAAGCAAGAACTGTCTTCCCACGTGCAGGTAATCCAACCATTGTTACAACCAAAGGTACAAAATTATGTCCAACTGTTCACAAATAAATATACATAGTAATTTTTATCCAGGCAATAAATAAAAAAAAGCTATTAAAAAAATCAAACATGTAATCTTAACAGGAACGTTACCAGATATCATATCCCCTACATGACAAATTTTAATAATTTTAGTAGGTAATTTTTTAAACAAGGAGGAAGCTACAATAAAATAATTATATAAAAAAATTATTTGATTCACAAAAATAAATTTTTTACCCCTTCCCATATTTCTAGCTTTGGTAAAGCCCTGATTCTTTATAATGTGCCATTAAATAGTATTAAATTCCAAGACTACATATTCCCAAACCAAAATAGATATTTTATGGACAGTTTAAGAATTATTAAATTTATAATTGGATATATAAAAATTTAAGGATGTTTTATAATTAGTATCTATAGAATTACATCTTAAAATTATTTTAGTTGCATACATAACAAATTATAAATATGGTTTAATTATTTAACATATTAGAGAAAAAATTTACTTTGAGAAAATACAAATGGCATTAAATCCTTCTTGCCAACTATATCATCATCTTCTGATTCTGACTGTGATTGACGTTGCCAATCTTTTTTAATTGAACGCATTAGACTTGTAGGTGCCATTATACTTTTTGTAGGCTACAAAACTTTTAAATACACACACTTATATCAAATGCTACACTATACTACTAGCAGCGTGGCAGACTAGAGCACAGTGTAAATATCAAGTTCTGAGAAATGATCAGATGATGTATGATAGATAAGTTTTTGTAGATCTGGCCTCATACCACCAATTGGTCTTCTACGCACAACGTAATCCACTTTGTTGGCCAGTGTGATGATACAGCAGAAGTTTGCCCCGTCCACTTTGATCACTGCGGTGCAACAAATGTCAAGAGACTACTTGACAGTTAAAGATTAGAGAATTTGTTTATAAGATAATATTACAATAAAGTTAACTACGAGTATATAATTGCAATAAAATGGACAGAATAAAGTGTAGCTCAAAATAACAGACACAATTCAGCCTTTGATCTGCAAAACTCGTGCAATAAGATTAACATCTGCACATTTCATACGACAAAAGAAGTATAAATGCATAATAACTATAGATTCTCGAATAGATAAAATCGAATAATTATTTATGAAATCAATGGTTAATTTTTTTATACTCTTTCTTATCAATTTGTAATAGTAATGGCGTGTCAACTTGCTTTTGTCCTCGGACAACAGACGATCCCAGACAACAATAAAATTTATTACAATACTATTTCTAGGAACTACAGTATATAATACTATACGATGCTGACTATGACGATACCAAAAAATAATAAACAAAACTAAAAATTTAATTGAAAACGCACAACTGATGATCGCACACGGGAACGATATGGTTCGCGAACAAAAACAACAATACTACAGAAATCGATGGTCCGTCCGGGTAAATCGTACTCAAACGACGGAAATTCGGTTCGTTATAAATACTTCAAGTGGCGGCCAAAAGGTCGTCGATTGTTAGTGGAAGTGGGAGTGACAAGTAGCTTGGGAAGAGGGGTACAAGTACGTGCTACGCCTGCGTATTGTTACAAAAACAATAATACACTTGATTATGGATCCCTTGTTTGTTATTACACTCAGAACAGCCAGTGTACGTTCGCGTCAGTGCTTCAGCACCTGGTTGTCATGCGCTTAGAAGTGTACGTACACCGCGCCATTACGAATTTTCAAGGAATTTTGTCAAAACACTACCCGCTATTTCAACTTCCATTAAAATTTCGGTGTCAAGGCCAAAGATAACTGCGCGTTACTATACCACGAAATCGACCCTAGTCTTTGAAATTTATGAGTTTGTTATTGTTATAGCAAATTTAACCGTGTTACTTTTTTACGCAGTTAGCACTATACGTAACTTAATATGAATAAAAAAATTTTATTTTTATTTTCACGTAAAAAATTTTTTTTCTTTAAATTTTCGGAAAAAATAACTAATCCCCTTCTCCTTAGGTTGACAGTTTTTTTAATACTAAAATACATTGTAATGATAAAAATTTGCTTCTCGGTTAAAATATGAAGCTAATGCGACATTTCACAAAAAATTGTGAAAGAAAAAACATTTTACGTGTGCATAAAAAAATTGTTAATTACGTTATAATCTAGCTTTTAGATATGGAGTCGCTATTTATAACTATTTTTAGTTTATTAAATGTATTTATTAATACTGCTCTCATTAAAGTAATTAAACTTTTTCATAATATTATTACCTTTTGTTGTTACATTAAGGACGTATTTAAAAATTAAAAATGAGGAGACACAAATAAAATTTTCAATTGAAAAACTACCAAGAAAATGATTTTACTCCTTTTGGGTCGATTATGAGAAAAATGGTCACTAAACTATTTATATCAGTATGAGTGGCGCCGAAATTAAAAGCAAAATAAAGTATCATTTCAGTCTTCTAATTAAATCCGAAAAAACATTATTATTATTGAAGATCTGTGTTAAAAAATTTTTTAGTAATTTGATTTAAAATAATTACATATTATAAATTATATTATATTTATATAATATTGTGACTGTATTATGTTAATTGTTATTATATTATTATAGACAAGTTTATTGACAAAAGTAAAATTACAATTAAGTTTTTGTCAAAGATTAAATTTATTTTTTATTCAATAACTCATTTATATACTTTTAATTTTTAATTTTTAATTTAGTAAAAGTTATTCCGCGTAAAAAGTTTAATTTTTAATATCTAAGTTGAACATAGTTTCCAAAGTTAATAAAGCAATATTTTTTATTTATTGTAATAATTAATAAAACTATAATTATATGGATTATATGGATAATTATCCATTCAACTATATTTAGTATATTATTAAAAATTATTAATAATATATTAAAAAATAATATATGATAATATTACCATTATATTATCAAGGGTAAAGTATGTAAAATACCGGATTTTTTTTACACCATCACTAAAAATCAATAAAAAAAGCTTAACCAGTTTTTTTAGCTTTGTAACAATCGAAATGACTTATTTTTAATCATTAAACTTTTACCCCTAAGTAAAAAAAAGTTCCCGCGCCTTTGATCAGAATTACACGGTCAATGGGGAGTACGTGCTGCTGTATCCCCACTAAATACGCTACTGTAACTTATATAATACTACATATTAGTATATATTTGGGTAAAATTATGTCTTCGGCTTTTGTCAGTTCTAAAATTGTTATTTACCAATAGATTTTATTAAAATAGTTATTTATATGAAAATACATAAAAGCATTTCTAAAAAAGTTATGTAGGTTTTCAGTAGTCGTGCCAACTCATACAGAATTGTTAGAACTCATTTATAGATGTGCCAATTAAAATATTTTTCCATGAAGATGTCTAATTTTTTTTGTAGATCATGATAAACTTATCAATTATAAAACTTAAAATGTATTATAACACATCCTATTGCTCATATAAACCTGTATCTAGGAAATGTGAACAACATTACAAGAAAATTATTTTTCAGATAAGAATGATGAAAAGACGACAATCAATAAAGTTGTCTAAGACTGTGCTTGGAAACATATGAAGAGCAATAAAAAAAGATATCTTTTACTATTAAAAAATAAGTGCTCTAAAATAGCTTGAACAATAAATGGTCCTGTAAGAAAATACAGTTAAGATTTTTAAGATTTGATTTTTATGAACATGAATACAAAAGTTTATTCAAAAGCCCAAAAAAAAGGATTAGAATTTCGAAATTTTAAAAATTGCCCGCTCTCTTTTTTATATAGTTTTACATATATCTTATTATTTTTTATTTAAATTAAATATTTCAATTAGAAATGCAAAAACTTTAATTTAGTAGAAAAATACTACATAATTTACCAAACCGAATGACTGAATTACCAAAAGTGTACGTCATCAAAATTTGTAATTTCTTTCGTTTATCAAGTTTATAATTATCACAAATATTGTCACGATGCCAAATAATTTAAAATAAAAAAAATAAGTAGGTATGTTATCTTTCAAAATATTTGTTAATTTAAACTGCAATGTGGATATGATTTGTATTTAATATAAATTAAATGACACAAAGTTAATGACGTAGCTAGCTAGAGATATTAGGCAAAACGATTTTCCAGTGCCTCGAAAACTTTAGTTACACTGTTAAGTTGGGTTAATAAAAGCGTATGGAATTTGATCTAACGAATCTGGTTGGTGTAGAAATCATTAGGTTTTGATAACTTAGAAAAAAAGTCATGGTCTAATAAACTTTTTATGTTGGTAACTAAAAAATAATAATGTATATACTCACAACACAAATTTATTTATTCAATAAAATATCTAACCGTTTTGTATACTTTTATATTGTTCTAGATGAAATACTCAATGAGAACATAAATTAAAATTTAAAAATAGAATATAAAAAAATTTAAAGTATTAGCGAAAAAATTTAGAAGTATCAATTAATTATAAACATATAAATATATAATTTATTGGTCTGTAACATTAATTGTTAACATAGTAAAAATAAATATACTTATGTTCAATGAATATACATTTTTAGAAAGTGAATTTTATTTATATTTTTTTTAAAGATACTATTGTAAAAATCCATTATACAATTTAAAACTCAAAAAATTAAGGTTTTAATTATTTTATTACCAATTTTTCTTCTAATATGGTTAGTGGTTAAATTTATTGACCTAAATAGAATAAAGATACTGAATGTATTTTTTTGTTATTAGAAGTTATTTTTTAAGTTTTAATCAAATTGAAAGTATGTATATTTATAATAGGTTTGTTTTCTTTGACTTAAAATTTTCTTCACTTTAGTGAAATAAACATGAATTATAGTCGACACAAAGTAATTTATGTACACCTACTTAAAACTTATTATTTTTGTCCTTTGAAACACCTAAAACATTAAATAAATGCATGTTATACGCAAATTCGATATTTTTTAAAAAACTTTTAATATTCATATATCAAATACGCAAAAAATGTATCGCAATTAAATCACAACAAATTTACACATAATGACATGCTAAATTTTCTTAAATTGCCTTTAATTGATAGATATTTTTATTTTTATTACATGGAACAGATAAACTGACATCATAAATTATTTTTGTTTTGGTTGAATTGAAGCTACGTAATTAATTTCTGACATTTTATTAACTGTCACGTTACAAGTATAAGATCTTAGCCTTTCAAATAAACTAAATTATTGGAGGAAAAGGATGGTAATAAAACAATGTAGTAAGGAAGCTCCCTTCAGGTTTAAACCTATGAAATAGATTGATTTTAGTTCTTATAGAAAATTTTTTCAAGTTACGCTTATAGGGTGCTCACTTCACCTATATAAGTTTATATATATACAGAGTGGCCCACCACTCACTGACAACTTAAATAACTTTTGATCCAGTTAATATTTTTAGCTGATTTTTTTTTTTAATAATAGTTATACGTTATAGACCTATAGCTATATCTCAATAATTAATTTTTTTACATTTTATTAAAAATATTAATTATTTTTAAATTTTAAATAAAATGTAAAAAAAAAATCTAAGATAGCTATTTTGTAGAGTAGAATTTAAGAAAAATTTTAGTAAAAAAATATCTTATTAATATTCAGTAGTAAATATTCTGTAGCGTTTTGAAGTTTGT